TCTCCGTACCCACCAGGGGTTGCTGGGGGCCCCCAGGGGGCCCCCTGGGGGGCCCCCCAGGGGGCCCCCACTATGGGGGGCCCCCCAAGGGGGGCCCCCAAAGGGGGCCCCCATACACATGGGGGCCCCTCAGCTAGGACCCCATGGGGCCCCCGGGCTGCCTGCAGCAGCCCGTTTGCTGCTGAGGCGAAGCAGCAGCAGAGCTGCTGGTTGTCTCCTGCTGCTTCAGCAAGGAGACAGCAGCAACACAGACAAACTAGGGGGCCCCCGGGGGGCCCCCAGGGGCCCCTGGGTACCGTAGTACCCCCACGACTCATTGGAAAGCCTGTATGGATCAGCACTGCTGCGGGCCCCTTCCTCGTGCAGCAGCAGCAGCAGCAGCAGCAGCAAGTGAAGCAGCAGCAGCAGGAACAGCAGCAGCAACAGCAGCAGCAGCAGCAGCAGCAGCAGCAGCAAGAAGACGCTGCTGCTGCACCATTTATTTATGGGGTTCTGTGTAATCCCCAGCCGAAGGACCTTCCACCGAGGACTGCTGCTGTTGCTGTTGCTGCTGCTGCTGTTGCTCCCTTTGCTGCTGCTCCTGCTGCTGCTCCAGCAGCAGCAGCAGCAGCAGCAGCTGCTGCTGCTGCTGCTGCTAGCACTCATCCAAACGGCAGCAGCACAACCGACGAGCAGCAGATTATATACGCAGTAGGCAATCACAGCAGCAGCAGCAGCAGCAGCAACAGCAGCAGCAGCAGCAGCAAACGAGCAGCAACAAGAGCAGCAGCAGCAGCAACACCAGCAGCAACAGCAGCAGCAGCAGCAGCAGCAGCAGCAGCAGCTTGTTGTGGTGTTTTGTCTGCAGCCCCTGGATTCTATATTTCCCTCTGATGAGTCTTTTGGGGTTGGCGATAACACCCAGGTCACCTAAACCCTAAACCCTAAACCCTAAACCCTAAACCCTAAACCCTAAACCCTAGACGCTATATATATAATACAAAGTAAATATAAAGAGAGAGAAAGACAGCGAGAGAAAGAGAAAGAAAAAAAAACAAAAAAAAAACAAAGCGGAGACAGAAGAAAAGAAAAAACAACAGAGACAAACACTAAACCCTAAACCCTAAACCCCTAAACTCTAAACAAACGAATTAGGGTTTAGCGGGTCTATGGTTTAGGGTTTAGGGTTTAGGGTTCCTGGATTAGGGTTTAGGGTTTAGTGTGTATTATTTAGGGTTTAGGGTTTAGGGTTTAGGGTTTGTGTTCAGTTGGAGTATTTATTTTGTATTATATATTAAATATTTTTTCTTTTTTCTCTTTTTCTTTTTTTCTTTATTATTCCTTCTTTATTATTATA